CGAAAATTCAAAATACAAATTCGATGAGAAAAAGACACTTACCTGGACTAACAGAAAAACGACTAAAAATGAAACAACAGTGTACTAAGCACTGCATAAAATAACTGTATACTGAGCAAGACGATCGCAACCATAAATCGGGTTGATTTCAGGTGCTCATAGCATGTATAAAGTCGATGATCGGTAACTTTAAGTGATGTATGACGATTGTAATATATCCGCTGTCATCTAGATCTGTAACACATACATCCCGTACCGATCAACCAAATACTGACGGCGCCTGTAAAACATTCGGAAGGGTGACTTCTACTTTACAATAAGAAACCTGTATGTAATAGCTTCATTGTACGCAACAAATCTCCATCGAGGCAATCATGACAGAAAACGCAACCGTTGAAATATCGTAATAATTGGAAAATATTTACTCCATTAGCAGGCGTTGCGGGAATGTTGCTACATAGAAACGGAAAAATCATTACTGGATAGCCGAAGTACTGCTCGAGAGTAACGTATTTTAAAAATGAGACATTAAACGCAAGACGGAAGGACAGAGGGTCTGCTACTGCTTAGAAATGGAACTTGACAATTCAAAATCGTCCTCTTTTCCATGAATAAGACTAATTGCCGGAGTTGTTCTTACATGAGAAACATGATAGGTGCCACATATGGAGCAGGACCTGCTTCCCCTTCTTGAGATTCTGAGATCACCCCCAGTTGTTGGTGGGGTTCGTGTTGCTCAATCTTTAGTTTTCGTAATTTTGTTTTGTATTCAATTGTTTGTCTTTTGATCGTTTTCTTTTTTTGCCATAGCGTTGTCAGTTGATTTTCGACTTATGAGTTTGAATGTCCATTTGGTATCTTTCGCCTTTCTTTTGTTATCATTAAGTCTATCACAGATTCTAGTTTGAAGTCGACCATCTGTGTCAATATCGAGGAAAATATCAAAATATGAAGTAGTCTTTCTTCTTTCGATTGTATCTTTATTCTAAAGTTACTTGGAAATATGAGATATTAGCACTCATTGAAACGTGAAAAGTAAAATAACAAAAATACCGAATTTCAAAACGGAACGTCCCTTATCAGATGGCAAAATAAACCTCTCACTTGTATGACAGTCGCATAGAATTACATTATATTGACAATAATGTGAGTTATTGAGTGACAGAACATCATCAATAAATTTGAAAGTGAAAATGAAGAACTTTGCAAGATGCTTGTCTGTATGGATGCTGCTTAAATTTGGCAAATACTGAAAAAAGAAAGAGTTAGTTTTAGCAAGTTCAACCTACGAATGCCTGCTTGTATACTTTTCATATAGTTACGACTAAAGGAAAAAGAAAGCTCTAATTCAACAGCCGTAAATTCCTTCTTAATGGAGCTCTGTACATTCCTGACCACATGTGATAAAAGTTCATATCATTGATTTGTTTCCGAATATTTACGATAAAAGCAATCGAGGTCAAAGCGTTAGGATCAGAAAAATAAATATGTAGTTTCTTTAAGTAATTCTGCCACTGATTTAGATTCAATTTATATAACTTTTAAACATGATTTTAGTTTTAATTCTTCTTTTAAAAAAAAGGGTTCCAAAGTTAAGGAATTTCTATTTCAATTATGCAGCATTTAGTAATCAACCTATCAATGCAACATTTGCCACTCCTGGCAAACTTTGCCTTACAATAGGACTTCTACAGACCATTTCAATAGACTGTTACTTCCCATAAAATAGGTTTATATATAAGGCGTATAGGACTTTTTAGCTGTATTTGGCAAAACTTTTAGGAATTTCTGGTCCTCAATGCTCTTCAACTTCGTACTTTATTTGGCCTTTTCAACATTTTTTTATTCGAGCGTCACTGATGGGTCTTTTGTAGACGAAACGCGCGTCTGGCGTAAATATAAAATTTCTATCCTGGTAACTATGATGAGTTCATTGGTAACAATATTTTAAATTCTACATGTTTGGTAAAATTCTGCATCGAAGGACGTACCGAATTTTCAAAATTAAGCAAAGTTTCTTTTTCTGAACCCTCGTCAGATATATATATATATATATATATATACTTATATATATATATATAGTTGTCAAATGTTCAGAAATGTGCAAAATATTGTTCCAACCCATAAGCACACACGAAGCTGTGAAACAGTATAGATCAGTTTTTTTTTCTTTTTTTTTTTTTATAAAATGACTGCTTTGAAATAAATTCAGATTCCTTGTCCGGGTTTAGCTTACATTGTGTTGCTTTTTTGGTTTTATTAGCGCTTCAACGACTTTAGAATAAAGTGGTCACCATCATCAATGAAGAGACATAAATTATCAAAATGCGCGTTTGATGCAAAAAAATAGGCTAAATCTGAAGGACATCTACCACTGTATGTATCATCATTGTATGTATATTATTTATCGTCACGGATGCAGATCTGCTAAAGGAAACCCTAAACCTCCATATGAATCAACATTACAATAACCTTATTGATCAATACGGATATATATCTGCTTCCGGGAATACATGTCATGCTTATCAAGTACTTGACAAAGCTACAGCTAATAGTGAAGATTTATACTTACTGAAAGATTTTTATAATACCCTCGTAAATAATGTCTGACTTTAGGGTATTATAAAAATCTTTCAGTAAGTATAAATCTTCAAAAACGCTCCTTCGCATAAACTTACTGTTATGTTTTTAAGGGAACTACATTTGTATTCAAATTGATGGAGCAAAATGAATTTAGGTCGTTATATCTCCACTTTAATTTAAATCTTAAGCTAAACATAATTCTTTCAACGATCATTAATCATTTTTTTCTATTGAGCGTTAATATTCATATTTATGGATAGCTAGGATCAATTCATTCTGGTATTTTTGTTCACTCTTAGTGTCAAATAAAGGCAACAGTAGTATACCGCTGTTCAATAGTCATAAATCGATTTAACTGAAACAAATCCGGGTCACAAACCAAAACCGAGGGAAACACATCAACTATAAGCGAAAAATAATGGAACAACAGAAACACTGAACTGTTACAAAAACAAACGCAAACATACATAGAAACGGACTATTTGATAACAACTGCCATATTCCTGACTTGGTACAGGACATGTTAAGAAACAAATGGTGGGTTGAACCTGGTTTTATGGCTAGCCAAACCTCCCGCTTATATGGCAATATTAAAAAATACCGCTAAAATAACAACATTACGTTACAGGAATACAGTACAAATAAACGCAAGAACACCCACAAAAAGTGACGTCACAGGTAAATTTCTAAAAATAAAATATAAAATTGGGATTAAGTTTGTAATGGTGTTATTTTATGTATTTTCTAACCATTAAAAGAATATTAATATAGAATTGTGTTAGTAATGGTGTAATTATTTGTATTTTCTAACCATGTTGGTTTTTCTTATAAGCAAAAACTGTGTAAAAACAAATAAATTCTGTGCATATAGTTGCTTTAAACTAAAAATCATATAAATGAACTAGCTGATTAATTATCTGAACTTTTACATACATATAGAAAATAAAAATAGAATTCAAACCACAAATGATAAGACATAACACAATATCTAACCAGACTTACAAACTAAACATTATAACTAAATACATGCGAGTTCACACACGGCAAAACAGTCATATTCGGGAATAGGTCACGTTCGGTACTTAGCAGACCAGACGACGTAGATGGTAAACCACAATCTAAGACGTAGTAAAAATGTCGTTACATAGTTTAGACACAGACACATGGTATAGATGTATCAAACACAGGGATTTGATGACAGACACATGAATTGGATTTTCTAAGGTATCTGAATACTACAAGAAAGGAACATCACATGGAAAGTTGCCTGATTTGTTAACTGAGCAGGTCACAAGACATTTATAAACCACATATCGAGTGTGTGCAACCACACTAAAGATCATTTTTCTATCGAATCCTTTCCAAAGAATTTCTATTAAAAGGTCCAAAGCTAACACTACAGTTATTTGGTTAATTTTGATATAACAAATCTTGATAGGACTGTTGCAAAAACACTATTGAAAGATCTCTATAACTGTGTTGAATTGGTTACCTTTTAGAATAAGTTTATTTTAAGGATCGATCAGTTTACCCGGATCGTATCTAAAATTACGGGCTCGGTAAACAACATCGTCGTAAAACTTAGGATGTTTACAGAGTTTTGGCTGCTTGTTTCCAATATTTGGGAAAGTGAAAATATATTTTTTCTATGCTATATATACTATCAACTACATAACTACATGTGTGGTTACACAGTTTTGGCTGATGGATGCGAATATTGTCACCTTAACCTATTATGTCTGTTTGGGTCGCCCGGTTTTGTCGATGTGGCGGAGCAATAAACAGCTGTCATGCCATTGAGATTTTAAGGTAGCTGTATAACCAGCTTTAGCCCATTACTTTCTTCAGAAAATGCCTGTACAAAGTCAGGAATACAACAAATGATTTCTATTTGTTCCTTTGATTGATATAGTCAAGGTTGAGGTTTGTCGGGTTTTTTTATTTCCCCCTTTTTGAATTAACATTGTTAATTCTTCTTTATACTTTATATGTCAAATAAATTTTTGAGGGTTAAAGTCACTCAGATTCGTTCTACAAAATTTATGTATGAGGTCAGCTTATTGTTGAGATATCAATGTCAGACGATTTGACCATCAGCATTGTTTAAAGAGTGTATATAAGGACTTGCACAAACAATAAAAAGCTAAAATTAAAATATAGAAGTAAATTAAAGTGATCACGACTAGTAAATTACTGAAACGACACGATCAATTGATTTATTGCTAATAGTTGGAAAACCCAAACATGTTACAAATAAGTGTCCGGAAAATGTTATCTATTGTCCGGATAGAGGATGTAATCATTCAATATAAACGTTTTATCATAAAGGAAACAGACTTTCCGAATCCCGTCTTGCTTACTTTATCAAATATATATAGATATATTTGTGGTTTTTCGTTAAAAACTAGAAGTTTAAGTTAATCCTTTGTTTCGGAGCTTATATTTGTATAAATAATTGGTCGACAAATCCCAAACCCATTTTACCACTTTTGTGGTAGATATCGGATATCGTCAACTAAGAGGTGAGAATTTATCTATTTATGTTCATGTTTATGGGTCTTACTTTTCAGTTTATACGGTAATTAATAAATTGAAACTAGAATTAAATTATATTATCCAAACAACATACATTTGAATACGACACAATTTTAATAGCTTAATCGAAAAGAAATCACAATCGGGCACCAGTTGTGAACGACTCAATTGTATAAGGCAAAAACTATCAACGAATAAAAATGTTGAAAAAGGAGAGCCAAGCTCTATTACTGTCTTGTTATTGATAATGTATTTTCATTAAACAAAAATAGATATATCTTCATTTTTAGCTTCATATACTTTTAAAATGTGTAAACATGTTTTCTGAATCAATCAACAAATAATGGAATAACAAAATTATTTTAAAACGACAAAATTGAAAATTGTTAAATTCAATCGTTGATTACTTTTGGTATTAAACTGGATATTCGGACTTAGAACAAATAGACCAATATCCTTATTTCGAAAGCTCAAATTACAGGAGCGTAAACGAAATCGTGCATATTAATACAACTACCATTTTTACGCTTTCAAAATTACTTCTAAATGCTTAATTCCTCTGATAGTCGTAATAATTTACCTTTGTTCCTTACTTACTGACTGCATTACAATATTTGATTCTGTTGAATGTGACAGAACAAAGCTATTTTCAATTTAAGTTAACTGCTCTTATTTACGTACTTTAAATAATTTTATTCCTGTTCTCAGACGGAAATCTCGTTAACTTTGCAGAGATGACGGGAATATGGTTTATAGTGACAGTACTTGTCTTTGTTTTGAATCATGGAATGGCTACGCAGTCGATTATACAAAATTCCGATATGAGAGTATTTTGCCTGATGTTTGCATTACCAGGACGTAAAAATGGTCCAGATATTAACGGGTTCAAGAATCTATTCGATGCCCAACTCGATAAAGTAGGCAAGAATGTCTTTGGAAACATTCCACACAGTAAAAGAATGGAAGAGGCCGGAAAGATATGCACATTCATGGACAGTTCTTCCCCAAAATGTGCTTATCACAGGATAGCAACCATTGGAAACCACATGATTGATGATCTAAGAAGACTAGAAAGTAGCATTGGCACCGGATTCAAAGATTCGTGGTACATGTATACAGTACTTCTATCGACGTGGTACATGGATCGAGTTTTTTTAAGTCTCAACTGTGGCCCAGTGAATGTCAATTTGCCTCGTCCAACATCTCAGTGGGAATATATAGCTAAATGGAGTAAGCATCTACTCTCTCGTACAAATTTCTGCACTTGGTCAAAACCGTTGGACAAAACAATTGCACAAAATCTACGTCAAGAAGTGAAGAAGATTTGCAACTACAGGGAAACAGAGCCTATTTGTAGACTAGAACCGGTTCTAGACTTTGTAGATTCAATGACAATTCTATGCGATATTGTTCCACAAACCGAATGGCAAACTAGTTCAACAAACTTTAAGTTCTTTAAAAGTGCAGGATATATCAACTTCTATAGTATGAGGGTTAAAATGCCGCCAAATATTGTCAATCTATTTGATACAAGCACAAGAGAAGAAGCTATCAAAACAGGAATACTTAGCATCTTTTTTCAAATGTATGACGATTTTAAAGCAAATGACTTATCGCTAGCTGTCAAACTGTTAAAGATACTTCCCAAAAGTCAGTATTTACCGTGTGATTACAATGCACCTTTTCCATCATTCAAATGGTTGATTTGCTCATGCGCTAAGGTATTTAACGAGCTCCGTTTGTTCCTTCAAACGTATGGTAAGGCTAACTCCGATGTTTTACCCCGTAAATTCTTAGTTTCAAATATTGACTTTCGGGAATACATAAAAAACTTAAAAGTATCTCAAATAAAAGAGCTGGCAGAGAAGAATGCAGTCAGTCTTCAAGTCGTTGCTATGGATATCAAGAATGATGTACAACACCGATTTCAACAACTGGGAACATACTTTAAGAAAGTAGCTACGTACCAAAAAGCTAAGCTAAATGCGGACGTTGGATATCTCAAAGGCAGCATAAAAGATTATCAGACGAGATTTAACAAATATGTAGAAGATATCAAAGGTAAACTAACAACATTACTAGGGCTTTACATTGGTACTGTTTCGGCAGATTTAGTTCAAGCCGTAGCAAAGATGGCAATACGAATTGCAATGGCTGGAAATCCATTTAAATGGCTGGCTGGTAGTGGGAATACTGACGATATTTTGGAGTCCGCGACAGAAATAGCAGAAGCATCCAGACTTCTAACTCATGCTATTCGTAGTGCAGTTAATTTTGGTAAGCTTGTGGATTACAGCACTACAATTGCAAAAAAACTAGCAAAAAATGAGAAGATGATAAAGAATGCTGGTAAGATTATGAATAATGCTATGAAGATTGTAGAGTCATCTGAAAATGGGTTTGAAACAATACAGTCCAACTTCTTGAGAGACTACAATGACTATTCCCCTCAAGTTACAAAAGATGATCTTGCTAAACTAGGGTCATACTGGGAACTATTTATTGAAGAGATATGCGAGGGTATTGCTTCCACAAGTAGTATACATGCAAATGCAATAAGAGGAATTGCGGGAACAACTGGCAGGTGTCGTGAAGCTAAAATAACCGCCGCACAATTGGTAGCAACACAAGAAGAAGTATACGACATGCAGTTTGACCTCATGGAAACAATGGCAAATTTAATGCGAAGCCTCACTCAGATACAGAGCTCCAAAATTCTCGGAAATGGTCCAAAAGCCCAACATCCAAGTGGTCTATCCGTCGATACTATAAAGACCCTAGTAGCAGTTTCATCGATGTCGTACAATATTCTACAGACAACTAATGTTCAAATGCTGTGTAACATTTTGGAGTACAAGCATGGAAGAAAGCCACAGTTATGTAACGGATTGGCTACAGATATTGATAAATTATTAGCATTAAGAGACAGCGAATGTCACGAGGAATTGAAATTTATAACATTGTCAACAAAAAGGACGAACAAAACTGGCGATTTTTCTTGGTTAGACCTTTCCCTGTTATTCCGTGGTGAAACTGTTCCATTCCAAGTACCAGACGTAAACTGGTGGATGCAGCATGGTAAACTTTTACCATCACAAAGAGATTATAGCTTTTATCTGGCTGGGTTTGAAATTTATATGCCTTTTGTTAGCGATGACGCTCGTCCGGTAATTATATTTGATCACTTGCTGTAAATTCAGAATTTTTGCGCTGTTTTTCTCATTGCAAAAATTGCACTAATCGCCTTTAATTTGTTTACATAGTTTTCTATGTAGCACTTAATTTAGTATTTTTGTCCATTTTTCAACATCACAATGGAAAATGCACGGTAAAATTTCTGAATATACAGTTATCATAAATATTTTTTTTGCACTGACCTTTTGTACGTTGTCAATATACAAAATGTATCTGAAAAAAAATAGAATCATCGCCTTTTTTTCTGTTTGATATCATTTTCAGTTTACAGGATGCATTTTTAAGATCTAAAATGCTACCGTTGTCCTCTTACTGTTAATATCATTGATTGCTTTTCATTTATGATTGTCTTTTTCTAATTCATCATCAAATATTAATTAAAGCGACAGAAGTTTACCGATGTCCTTTATATGTTAGGACCACACACAATTCGTTCACACCCTCTGTCAAACCCACCATTTCAATAAACAGCAAAACGTATGAAGTTGACAAACTGATACTAGTAAGGGAAAAGAAGCATATGTGTTTCAAATTTAAAATGGAGATCATTATAACACTTGAATATGAACTTTTTGAAAGATGTAATCTCTTAAATATCAGCCTTTTAAATCAAATGACATTTCATTAAAGATGAGACAATTCATGTAAAGCAGAACCAACCTGAAGCAGCCCTGGTGCAATTTGTAAGTCTCACATATGCACATTAGATTTGAGGTAACAAACAAAAAATGAAGAAATCACATGGACTCTTAAATGAGCGATATCACGTGCGTCCATCGGGTAAATGTCCACTTCTATGAATGCACCGCCAACCATGCGCAATCACACAAAGTTTCAAAATTTGGAATAGGAAAGAACCTGTACATTTACAGATCAGGCAACTATACTGCTATCAAAATATTTAAGATCATGTAAACATGTTTAGCTACAATCAATTCTTGAAGGTAACAATAACACATGCAAGACTTATGAAGTGTTGATGCAAAACTGTATGGGCTCCTTCCCTTTTCCACTTTTAACAGGACATGTTATTTAAGATTAATCCAAATTTCCAAAATATTGTGGAAATAATATGAAATATGTAAACTATTCAGAAAGGACATATTTTCACTGTTTGTAATGAATATATTTTTAAATTTAAATAAATTATTTTCTTCATTAGGTACTTGTTCAAGTCAAACCAACGAACGTCGACAATAAATTGTTTAAAGATTCTAAGACGAACTACATAATATCACCACTCAAACCAATTTCTGACCGACTCAAGATATCCTACATAGAAGGTCGAGGTACCGTTTGCCGTCAGCAAGGAATACCTAATCCGTACCAACAATGTGGCGGGAACCAAAGATCATCATTTCAACAGATATGCCCTAGTTCATTAAGTAATGCTAATTGTTTTGCAGTTTCAAATGTCTAATAAAGAAAACATTTACAATTTACAAAGACTTAACCTAGATAAAGGATGCACGCAAACATGGCAAAAGAGACAGGAAATTAAGGTTGAGATAATGTCTGACGATATCAAAATCTGTCAATAACTTTCAAGAGAACTTTCCTAAATCAATTTTCGACTGGTAAATTTCATGACACCTTTAAAAAAGATGGACGAAAGATACCAGAGGGATATTCAAACTCATAAATCGAAAATAAACTGACAGCGCCATGGCTAAAATAGAAAAAGACAAACAGACAAACAGACAAACAGACAAACAATAGTATACAAAACACAACATAGAAAAATAAAGATTCAGCAAAACGAACCCCACCAAAAACTGGGGGTGATCTCAGATGCTCCGGATGGGTAACCAGATCCTAAAATTTTTTTTAATGCTTTTGTATATAAATCAGCACATATAGCCTCTGCTACACATTGCACGTCTTACAGCAAAGTTACATTACATTTTTGAACACTTTATGTATGTACGATGCACACTGGTTTATATATACATGTACTTATAGCAGCTAACCATTTTAACAAACATAAATTGCTCTTCAGGCAAAGAAGACGACAGTGTACTGCTACCGTCTATTTACTCAAAGTTTAATTTGCGAGTCGAAGGATATGAGCAACTTAATCTAGATAAACCAGTCACCGATGTTCCTCTAAAAATTGGCATCAAGTTCTGCTCTGTTGATCCATCTCGACCTTTGCAACGGCGGAAAAGAGAAATCTCAAGGTATCTATAATGCAGAGCTAACATTTTACCAAATGTTTCATCATTTACCGTAGAAGTGTAACGTTGACATTAACTATGTTTACAACGTATCAATAATCTTGATATTGCTATATAAAAGATATGGGAAATGAGTATTAAACTTTATCGTAAATAGACCATTGTACCCAACTGCAAGGCTTAGTCACAAATAAATATTCACGAGTTTTGTTTATTTTTATAAAAAAAAATATACAGGAAAACATCCGTGCCAATCAAACCGTGTTACTTCAACGAAAGTCCGTGTACATACTGATACGGTAGATCAAACCCCTGTGTTACTTCAACGAAAGTCCGTGTACATGCTGATACGGTAGATCAAACCCCTGTGTTACTTCAACGAAAGTCCGTGTACATGCTGATACGGTAGATCAAACCCCTGTGTTACTTCAACGAAAGTCCGTGTACATGCTGATACGGTAGATCAAACCCCTGTGTTACTTCAACGAAAGTCCGTGTACATGCTGATACGGTAGATCAAACCCCTGTGTTACTTCAACGAGAGTCCGTGTACATACTGATACGGTAGATCAAACCCCTGTGTTACTTCAACGAGAGTCCGTGTACATACTGATACGGTAGATCAAACCCCTGTGTTACTTCAACGAAAGTCCGTGTACATACTGATACGGTAGATCAAACCCCTGTGTTACTTCAACGAAAGTCCGTGTACATGCTGATACGGTAGATCAAACCCCTGTGTTACTTCAACGAAAGTCCGTGTACATGCTGATATATTTAATCAAACCCCCTTGTTACTTCAACGAAAGTCCGTGTACATGCTGATATATTTAATCAAACCCCCTTGTTACTTCATTGAGAGTCCGTCTACATGCTGATATGGTAGATCAAACCCCTGTGTTACTTCAACGAGAGTCCGTCTACATGCTGATATATTTAATCAAACCCCCTTGTTACGTCATTGAGAGTCCGTCTACATGCTGATATGGTAGATCAAACCCCTGTGTTACTTCAACGAAAGTCCGTGTACATACTGATACGGTAGATCAAACCCCTGTGTTACTTCAACGAGAGTCCGTCTACATGCTGATATATTTAATCAACCTCTTGTTACTTCATTGAGAGTCCGTCTACATGCTGATATGGTAGATCAAACCCCTGTGTTACTTCAACGAAAGTCCGTGTACATGCTGATATATTTAATCAACCTCTTGTTACTTCATTGAGAGTCCGTCTACATGCTGATACGGTAGATCAAACCCCCGTGTTATTTCAACGAAAGTCCGTGTACATACTGATATATTTAATCAAACCGTGTTACTTCAACGAAAGTCCGTGTACATGCTGATATATTTAATCAAACCGTGTTACTTCAACGAAAGTCCGTGTACATGCTGATATATTTAATCAAACCCCCTTGTTACTTCATTGAGAGTCCGTCTACATGCTGATACGGTAGATCAAACCCCTGTGTTACTTCAACGAAAGTCCGTGTACATGCTGATATATTTAATCAACCTCTTGTTACTTCATTGAGAGTCCGTCTACATGCTGATACGGTAGATCAAACCCCTGTGTTACTTCAACGAGAGTCCGTGTACATGCTGATATATTTAATCAACCTCTTGTTACTTCATTGAGAGTCCGTCTACATGCTGATACGGTAGATCAAACCCCTGTGTTACTTCAACGAGAGTCCGTCTACATGCTGATATATTTAATCAACCTCTTGTTACTTCATTGAGAGTCCGTCTACATGCTGATATGGTAGATCAAACCCCTGTGTTACTTCAACGAAAGTCCGTGTACATGCTGATATATTTAATCAACCTCTTGTTACTTCATTGAGAGTCCGTCTACATGCTGATACGGTAGATCAAACCCCTGTGTTACTTCAACGAAAGTCCGTGTACATGCTGATATATTTAATCAACCTCTTGTTACTTCATTGAGAGTCCGTGTACATACTGATATATTTAATCAACCTCTTGTTACTTCATTGAGAGTCCGTGTACATACTGATATATTTAATCAACCTCTTGTTACTTCATTGAGAGTCCGTCTACATGCTGATACGGTAGATCAAACCCCTGTGTTACTTCAACGAAAGTCCGTGTACATGCTGATACGGTAGATCAAACCCCTGTGTTACTTCATTGAGAGTCCGTCTACATGCTGATATGGTAGATCAAACCCCTGTGTTACTTCATTGAGAGTCCGTCTACATGCTGATATGGTAGATCAAACCCCTGTGTTACTTCAACGAGAGTCCGTGTACATACTGATATGGTTGATCAAACTCCTTTGTTACTTCAAGGAATGTCCGTGTACATGCTGATATGGTTGACCAAACCCCCTTGTTATTTCAACGAGAGTCCGTATGCATGCAGATATGGTTGATAAAACCCCCTTGTTACATCAATGAGAGTCCGTGTACATGCCGATATGGTTCAGTTATTTATTAAACCAAACACTTAACATCAAGTTCGTGGGTGACTTTATGGCTTCTACAACATTTTTGATTGTTTAGTGACAATATCTTGACCGGTCAAGTGTTTTCCACTTTAACGTGAGTTCCGATTAAGCCTGGATATAAATGATTATTGTATTTGATGAAAATAGACACTATTATACTACGTAAATATCTGGGATCATGTCACATACACGTTAAATCGAATTCTTTTATTTTAAAAAACTTTGAACAAATGGAGGCGTTCCATGATATGTTTATGTTTATTTTGGCAACTTCGGCGAATAATGTAACTTATAAATGCTTTAGTTGGTAATTAACACCTGGTGTAGCGCTGGTCATTACCGATTGGTGGGAAAGTAGAGTCTATTGGATAGGGACAGAAGTTTTGCCTTGCAGAAGACCATCTACGGGCCCCTCAAAGAGTTGTTGCAAGGGCTCTTAACGTTACTCCCCAATTACATATACCTATAACTTATTTCCCATTAATTACTTAAACCTATAACTTATTACTCACCAATTATGTATATACTTAAAGCATACGCAGACAGAGATCAAATGGAGATTGTTGTCCTCAGAACAAACAGTATTACTCAGAAATGACAAAACAATGTGAATCTTGTCCTGTTGGGTCACAGAGTTACTACAATGGACTGTTTTGTGGTGAGTATAATTTCTTTTGTTCTTTGGTATAATAATATATCGTTACAGTTTCTGTAGCATGTCCCCAGTAAAAACTAGGTGAAAGATACCATAGTGATATTAAAAAATTTCAGTCGAAGAGAAACGGATAAGCTATTGCAAACAAAATTTAAAAAAAAACACTTCATAGAAAACTATAGGCTAAGTAACATCATCCTCACTAAAACATTGTGTCTGCAAAACACTTCAAAGAAAACTATAGGCTAAACAACACGATCCACACTAAACACTCGTGTCTACAAAACACTTCATAGAAAACTATAGGCTGAGCAACAGGATCCTAACTGAAAATCTGATGTGATCATAAAAGGGTTCACTATTTAATATATATGGTATATGACAGAAAATGTATTAAGAAATGTTACGAAGTTTACACACATTAACATCTTACAAATATTGATTTTGTAGCATAGTCATAGTATTTTATTGATAAATATGTAAAAAAAAAATATCTCAAAATTAGACTTTTTTTGGTTTTCTTTTTTTGTTTTTGCACTATATATAAGACGTTTGAAGTCCTAATGTCTTATGTACATCTGAAGGATGTTATTTGATAGTTTGATAGTACTTTATGAATTTCGGTTTCAAGGGGCCAAAAACGTGGTCTTATCATTCCTTCTCCTTTGATACCATCATTTTAATAACTTATTGATTAGAAACAGAACATCACATTGTTGAAGCTATTATAAACGAACTCATTCTCGTTAAATACTTGTTTTATAGTAAACCGTAAATGACCGACCAGAATTGAAAAAGATGGCGTTATTATAAATATGGTCGCAGTATAAAGCAGTAGTATTTTACTCATGATTATATGCATATGCAGTGAAATTCTTTACTCTTTTTTTTTCAGGTAAACTTATCAACATACGTTTCTCTGGTAGCATTACTGAAACCTTCACCTATGCTAAGGCGGTCAATCTTTGCAAGCAGAGTGGTTCCAATATTGCATCGACACAACTGTTCGCACAGGCGCGTCAATTAGGTCAGACGTCATGTGTGTGTGCCTGGTTAGAAGGATCCCGTGTTGATTCGCTTACCACTAAAAACAACTGTGTAAACAAAACGGCTTGTTCGACTTCGGGAAATATCAAATTCGTTCATTGCACAACCAACTTTTCCCATTAAAAGTTTGCATGATTCACGCATAGAAATATGTCCTATATATCACAAGTTCTTCTTCTTTTTTAATGGACTAGCTGATAAAATTGAAAAAAAAATGTATTAATGTATTTAAGTACGCATATTGAAATGTGTTACAATACTTAAAGTATAGACGTTGACAAACTTAATCACTGCAATTCAGGAAAATTGTTCCTTTGATTTTCGCATATGTTTTTAGTCGAAATGTATAAACAAATCTTACAGGTAAAATTCTTTCAAAATTGATGTAATTCCTCTTAAATCTATGATTAATAAGTATATTTTCATACGTAACTCTTGTTTAATCGTAATTGGGAAGAAGTGAGACAAGCAATTTTCTCACAAGGGCAAAATTAAACAAAAAAGTTTATTACAAAGAATTAATGAATGGAGATATATGTCAACAAATCAACGATAACTTTAACAATAATAACGATTTGTTAGTCAGTCACAAAATAATTAGGAAGCTTTTTAAAAAGTAAATTATTTCATGCATTGCAGGCGTAGTTGAATATTTGGAATCAATATAGAAAAGAATTGGGTAAAACGTAGGTTAAAAAACTGAACAAAACTGTTAAAACATATCTAGATTATGTGGTATAAGAAATGCATACATCTGAGACATTCATACACCGTGCAATAATTTGGAAAAGTTATTCGCTTTGAAGCATTGTAAATAGCTTGACCATTTTGTATCCCTTTTTAGACTGCGCTCATATTAATATTTTACTTCTAAAAACAGAATATGTACAATATTAATCTACGCCTCTGGCATCAGATGATTAAGATGGAAACTAATTAAGGATTTATTGCTAGAACATGATTTCTATTTCTGTAATAAAATATATATATCTGCAAAAATGTCTTATTTCCTTGTAAAGGCTAGATGCATATGATACATGTGACTCAACTATTCAAAACCTAGAATTGACGACGACTATTACCCAATAAGAAATAAACACGAATTATCAATTATCAACAGCTATCATGGTAGTTCGCCAATATTTCGTTACGAATTGTGATGATATATAGATGAATACAAGTATACCTTCGGGTACACGTCATATGATGATATCTTGATGAATACCAGTATATGTTTGGGTACACGTCATATGATGATATCTGGATGAATACCAGTATACCTTTGGGTACACGTCATATGATGATATCTGGATGAAAACCAGTATACCTTTGGGTAAAAGTCTTATGATGATATCTGGATGAATACAAGTATACGTTTGGTACATGTCATATGATGATATCTGGATGAATACCAGTATACCTTTGGGTACACGTCATATCATGATACCTTGATGAATACCAGTATACCTTTGGGTACACGTCATATGATGATATCTTGATGAATACCAGTATACCTTTGGGTACAAGTCATATGATGATAATTGGATGAATACCAGTATACGTTTGGTACATGTCATATGATGATATCTGGATAAATACCAGTATACCTGTGGGTACACGTCATATGATGATATCTGGATGAATACCAGTAGACGTTTGGGTATACGTCATATGATGATATTTTGATGAATACCAGTATACCTTTGGGTACACGTCATATGATATCTGGATGAATACCAGTATATTTTTGAGTATACGTCATATGATGATATTTTGATGAATACCAGTATACGTTGGGGTATACGTCATATGATGATTTCTGGATGAATACCAGTATACTTTTGAGTATACGTCATACGATGATATCTGGATGATTACCAGTATACGTTTGGATATACGTCATATGATGATATTTGGATGAATACCAGTATACGTTTGGATATGCGGCATTGAGATAACAACCAAACAATAAACAATATGCTAATTAAAAAAGATTCAGTAAAAAATAAAATGACAAATAATGAAAAATATTTCCTTATACACATTACAACCAGCAAGAAAATGCACAAAATACAACAGTAAAAAATAACTAAAACTAAAGCAACACGAACCCAGTGAAAATCAGAGGTTAACTCATGCGCTCCATACTAGTCCCTGTTCTACTTTTGCCATCCGACGGTCTGTTAACGATAGGTTGATAGTTGCATCAAAATAATCGGCAATGTAACCTTAATTAATAATGGAAATGAAAGCTGTCTTTATAAAAATAACTCGTTAAATGTGTAGTAATTTTATCACACCAACTTTCGTGTATAGTAAGTATATTGCAAAGATATCAATAATAACACACATACGAGAGGGAAAAAGGATTTTACATAGACAAATTGTCACAACCAAGTTATGAGACACTCACCTACCAGAAGTATAAACGGCCGTCAAAACTGCTTACCAAAACCATAAAATAAACGTGAAACGAAAGATATCATAGAGATAGTCAAACAAGCCCAAAAACGTTGCTTAAAAGTGGCGTTAAAACACCAAAAATCATATCAAATCAAAAGGTAAACAAAACTGTATGACAATTATCATTGTCCAAGCGTTATTACTTTGTAGGTTATGATAATCATTTTGCGCCTTCTCTTATGATTTTGTAAGCAAGGATATATCAATATTGACTACTTGGGATTACGGTGGATACTACACACGAAACATTATGTGATAATATTACTATTATATTCACAAGTCTTTTACAAACAAAGCTATCACTTTCAATTATGAATAGTTTTTAATAGTCAATTGTTTTGATTTTTGAAAGATGTATTTCTATTGCAGTAGTTTTTTTTGCCTACCTTTAACTGTACGATAGTTAACATGAATGGAAAAGTTGAATTGATTTACATAGCTAATTTCGAGGCGTTTTGTAGCTTACTATGCGGTATAGGTTTTGCTCATTGTTGAAGGCCATACGGGACTTGTTAACTTCTATTTCATTTGGTCTCTGGTGTAGAGTAACTTACTGTTTGTGAACATTAAAGGTAATTATCACATCTCCTTGTTTTTATAGTTTATATCTTGTCTTTATAGTGTAATATAACCGAGGCCACTATGGAAAATAAAATGGTGTTTGTACCAAATTAATAACAAATTATTAACAAATATATACAACTATATCACACAGGAAAACGTGTTGTCCTTAAGGCGGATATCATTTGTCTGTTTTAAAGGCAAATAACAAAGGGAATTTCCGATTTTTCTTACGAGTGTGGAAAGTAAACAAGTGCCTGTGGTATGTTGACCATGAAGCAGGTGTGTAATTCCGGACATGTATCTACGGAAGCAGATGTGTGTCCGTATGGACGACATTTATACGTGAACTGATGATGCATGGTATGGTAGATGTCCTTCAGTTTTACTTTATTATGTCTTCAGAACTACTTAAACTAGTTATTCAATATGAAGATCACTTTACTAAATTCATGCAAATATTTCCAATATCAAATCCGAAAGCAAAAACTGTCGCTGAGGTGATGCTTAACGGCTGCATAAAAAGATATGGGTGTCCGCTAGAACTGCATAGTGATCAGGGTAGTCAGTTCGAAAAACAGTTATTTCAATCTGTAAATTCATAGACATAGAAAAGATATGGGTGTCCAATAGAACTGTATAGTGATCAGGGTAGTCAGTTCGAAAACCAGTTATTTCAATCTATATGTAAATATATAGAAATAGATAAGACCAGGACGACACCAGGCCATTCTATACAAGATGGATTAGTCAGTTTTATTGTATTATGTCATTCAAACTTCTTGAACTAGTTGTTTGATGTGATTATTCAAAACATCTAGTAAACAATAATGTATATCGTGGCATTTTTTTTTCGCAAAATAAAGTATATCACATTTATTCGGATACACAGCCTGTTAAACATAATTGTTTGAAAATTACATGAAACGATGTTTTCCAAATGAAGTTTGAAATTATTTCACACCTTGTCGTTTCATAAAGTTCTTTCAATCTTTAACAAAAAATCAAATCACAATCGCCTACAGATGATTCAAAACTGCAATTTGTTTTATAGAATTTGGCAAATTTTGAGTAGTTTTTCCAGAGAGAAAAAAGGAATTAGAAGGACATTCTCCACAACATTCAAAATACCTTTTATTGTTTTTCTTTTGGCTTGGTTTTGTATTTGTTTTACTTCTATCTATGTATACATTTATGCCTAAGTCATTAAGTATGAGTGATATATGAAAAGAAAATTGTTTTTGCAGAGTTACACCTTCATGGCGTTACAATTATGTTATCGTTTTGATCCTTTTAAACTATATATCGGGACTCATTGAGCAAATAAAATAATATGATGACTTTTTTTATTTTCGTATCACTAAAACGGAATGCTTTTCTGCCATAACGCATCATTTCTAAACCAAGTTATGTGAAAATAGGGAAACGTATATTCGACCAAACACAAATTTAGGTTAGAAAGGTGTACATCTAAAGATGTGACAAAGATTATTTATTCAATATTCAAATGCAATTCAACGAGTTCTAAATGCATGCAAAATTTCAACAAAACCCTGAATCGTGACATTTTAAGTATACTTTCATGTTTGATTTTTTGTTTGTATTTTAATTCTCAATTGGTACATGAAATTAAATATTTCACATTGGAATAGCCTAGTAGATAAAAGATATCCTATCATATCTATTAATGAATTGATACTATATAATGAAACCAGAAAAAGTTGAATAATAACGACCAAACGCATTTTCTGTAGAATTGTCTTTTTGAAAATAAATCATATCCCCAGTAGTCTTGTCCAATGCAGCGGTAAATGTGTACTCTATTAGTTACATTAACGGCCAAAATATTTATTAAAAATGCTCAACTTTTCATAAATCATTATTGTTCTTCCGAAGAAGTAAGTACGTTTTTAGTTGTTATTTTTAATTGACCAGTTGTAGCATTGTACCCACTTTCTATGTGTGTGACAATTTTGTTGAATTTTATTATTTCATTTCGGTACAAACAAATTGGACCTGCGGTTAACATTGCTAAGAAAACTGGACGCTGAGCTGAAACAAAAAACAGTTTTGTGTAAGATATTCATCCTTTTTCTACCTGCAGGTCAATGTTTACTAAAAAAATTGTGTTAATAAACACGTTTAATACTGGCATGTGTGATAACAGCACACAATTTCTGTGAACTTAATTTTTCTGCTATTTTTACCCATTATCTATTTTTTTTATATTTTAGCACCAAATGATTCTGTATTCTTTATTTTCAAAGCCTGTTATCTCTATTCTTTATTTTTTTGCTTCTTTATTCAGTGTTTTCGCCCATTATTCTCATTTCTGTAAAACCCATCCAGACCCTCTTACGTTATGTTTCTATCTGATAAGACAAGATAATATCAACTGTATTTTGCAGTTTGTTATTATGTTGTTCCGTTATCCTACATTTTCAGTATAGGGGTGAGCGCTCGCTAATAATTTCAACCACGCTACTTTCTGTATGTGCCTGTCCTTAGAAATGAGCTTGAAATTTAGCGGTTGTCGTTGATTGCTGTCTATCATACATTGTCATATTTGTCTTTCGTTTCATGTTTTGGAAATCATTTTAAATTATGGAATATACATGTATTGCCCTATTTCATAGTTCTGATTCCCGTTTTGTTTTGTAAGCTCTTCATCGTTTCAATGAAGTTCTGGATTTCACCTCTTTTAGCCTGGAGCATCACTGGAGAAACATTTTGCATCTGTTGTACAAAATTATCAATATGAAATCTATATACTAAGTAATAATTAGTTTACGGGTAATGAATATTTTTAAATTACTATATAACAAAATATTAATTTTTCTGTCCACCGCGCGCGGAAGTAGTCAAGAAGACATTAATATTTTTTCAAGGGTTGACAGGATACACGTTATCGTTATAAATTTTAACTTCACGGTTTTTATGCCAGCAAATTTAATAAACAACGATTTTATACAGTT